AAATAATAGTTCACAAATATGTGAAACATTCTTCAGTCTACAGACAATGCTCAGTGCACATATGAATTATGGAACTTCTGATAGTGATTCTGCAGCCACGCGGCATTTCAGCATTATTTATGTCTTTAGAACAATCAAACAACCCTATACTCTTCCCACTAAAACCCAATTTACAATCATAGGCAAACTTTGAATGATGACCAAGTTATCAACTTCTGAAAAGCAGTCCTGGACTTCCCTACAAGTTATTCTTTTAGCACAAAATAACCAAAAGATGGAGATATGCCACAATTAACTTGCCTTCTAGCATCTCGTGAGAAATACTGGGCCAGTCTGACTTCTCTGGGGAGCTGAACTTGGGGTTAGGGGCAGAAGTTCTTCCATGAAGATAAGTATTATATATGTTAGAATAGAAGGCAAATTTTTTCCAAAAACATTACTCCTCAGAAAAGAGAGTTGCCTTATATTTTTGTCTTTACAAAGTCCTTTTGGAACAAAGTATTCTTCAGAAAAACGATGTCTTTAAAAGGCCTCAAGTAATGACCGTTTTCTATCTTACAAAGTTCACCTGACAAAAAGGGGGAAAGCGAAGACATATTTATTAATTATTCCTGGGAATATGCTGAAGAACAAGTATTGGAGATCATTATTAGCAGTCTTTCAAAATATCATTTAAAAGAGAAATACAAGAAGTAGTTATTTGTGGAGACTGAATATGCAGGGGGAAGAAAACCTGCCCTAATGTTTAACAAATGAAACCCTGGTGGTTTAACAGAATTCTTGCCTTCCATGGGAGAGACCCGTTTCAATTCCCCAGCCAGTGCACCTCATTCACAGCCACACAGCCACCACCCCTATGTCAGTGGAAGCTCACCTGCTGCTGTGATGCTGAACAGGTTTCAGTGGAGCTTCCAGACTAAAACTGACTAGGAAGAAAGGCTTGACAACATACTTCTGTAAAACTTTATGAATCACAATAGTCCTATCCACAAAGGATCATAGGGATGGTTTAGGCAGCATTTAGTTCTGTTGTGCATGGGGTCACCCTGAGTTGAGGTCAACTCCAGGGCAGCTAACAACAAAGTTTAACAAATTGTTCTTGAGACTCCAGTCAAATCTCCCTTGACAGCCTCCTGCTTGGTTTAAAGCATGTTGGATTTTAAGTATCTAGGAGGGAACTGTTAGATGACTCAAAATGTTGTTCCAGGATGATAAAGACCCTGCAATGTTTATAGTCATGATAAAGCCCTGCATGTGAAGGGTTTGAATAAAACTGAGGGGGGGCGGGGAGCAACTTATTAAAGTTATTATCATTTTTTATGGTATTAACTGAGTCTCTAAATTAATAGAAGAAATGGCTTAAATAGATTATTTAATTTACATCCATAAAACCTTACACTTAAATTAGAGATTAAATAATGTAGATTATTTAAAAATGTATATAATCAAGTTGGAAAAAGAAACTAACACTTGTGTCAGAAACTTACACACATATATATATATGGAAGAGCGGGGGAACTGAGAAAGCTCCCCCAGGTAAATCCAATCCTCATCCTCCCCCTCACAACCCCACCTCCTTTAACAACTGCAGATCAAACAATGTTTACCAAACTATGAGAACTGCCTATGGCACTTATTTAGATTCCCAGACTTCTCCCCGGACCTTCTGATTCAAGAAAACTGGGGTAAGGATGGGAATCTGCATTTTTAGTACATGCTTCAGATGATTCTTTAAGACCAGGTAACTTTGGAGAATATTGGCCTAAAGCATTAACTGAAACTGTGTTACGTGAATTGGGCACTGTTCTTTGTATATCATAAATCTTAGTTCCTTTCCTACAGAGAAATGGAAAAGAGACACAGGACTGGTCTCCCCAGTCAGCCCCTTCCCCTGCTGCCCTGCTTTCCAGGAACGGAAAGTGAAAGCCTGAATTACCAAGGCCACCTTTTAAGAGGTCTAGAAGTCTGGATTTAGTCAAGGAAGAGAGCACTGCAGGAGTTGAGTTTTCCCCCAGGGCCACAGAGGAAGAAAGAGTTGGGCATTAGCCGTAGGGACTTGGGCAATCATAGAAGCAGAAGGCAAACAGAAGCAGCTTGTAGAAATGGAATATCTCCACAAAGGTAGTGAGGGTTAGCATATAAGTGGCTGAGGTTTAAATTACTCCTTTATAGTTGCCCATTCAGAAGGGCCTTAGTTTTTTGACTCCTGGCATTGGGGAACCAGAATGATCCCTTCCTCCCAGGAGTTTATTTGAAAAGACTGAAGAAGCAGGGTGTTCAAGGCCCCCTGCAGCTGAATGTTAGGACACTGCTCTATACTAAGTGTAGCCGCTTGATTCATGGGGAAAGGCCCTGTCCAGCTGGTTCTTGGGGGTGTCAAAATAGCACAAAAGGCGAAACTCAAGGGTGCTTAATACTGGTTAAGACCAATGTTACCTGAATTAAGAAAGGACCTCAAGAAGAGTTAGATGTGTACCCATGAGTCACTAAACTCTAAGTCAAAGTCAATTACCATACAGAAGTCAAGGACAGAGTTATCAGGATGGCATACCCTCCTGCCCCCTCCCCTAAAACAATCCAGCCTAAAAAACATCCAAGGGATGGCAGTGAAAAGTAAAACTGCTCTGTTAAACACAGCAGAAAGCCCTGATCGAATGAGAGAAAAATTCAAGAACTTACTCAGAATTTCCCTTATGTTTGTGAAAACCTTAGATATTAACAGAGAGAAGGAAAATATTTTAGGCTGGGAAGAAAATCCTTCTCAGGTATCTCTGATATGGCCAATGGTTCACTCTAGCAGTTCTTTCCAAAATAGGTTGTTATCCATCAGTGGATTGTGAGATCTTTTTTAAAAAAGTAAATGAAATAGAAAATACCAGAATGCACTGCATGTAGAAAGGATATTATTTCATGAGACTTTTTTTTTTTCCCAGTAGTATTTATGAGTGTGATAATTTGCAATGTAAATGTATTCCTTATTTTGGCTCACAACAACAAAAAGTTTAAAATGGATTTCATCATAGGCTTTAACAGGAACAGGGCAACTCTTACAAGTCTGTCCCAAGGCAGTGTTAAGCGTACCATTCAAACTTGGGTATGAGAGTTCATATGGCTGGTTTGCCTTATAAGAGAGTTTATTGTTTCAGGTTTGACTACTGAGGACCAGATTCCATCTCAGCTTCAACTGAGAAATCACTTATTGAAACCAAGAATGCAATAGTGTAAAAACAAAGACTATTGACCGGGACTAGTCTTAAGGACTTTTATTTTCGATTTTTCTTTTTAAATCATAAAATTGAATTTTTTTTTGTGAGAATAACAGGATATAATTTGAAGTATCTTTAAAATCATGATACCAAAAATCCAAACCCATTGCCCATGAGTCAATTCCAACTCATAGCGACCCTATAGGACAGGGCAGAACTGCCCCATAGGGTTTCCAAGGCTATAATCTTTAAATGAAGCAGACTGCCGTATCTTCACCTCGAGGAGCGGATGGTGGGTTCAAATCACAGACCTTTAGGTTAGCAGCCGATGCTTAACCATTGCATCACCAGGGCTCCTTCACAGGGACACTAAAGCCTGTATTTATTTTCACTTTACCCATGATTGTTACAGAAAACTGTAAACATACTGACGGGACAACCGAAATAAGATCACTGCCCAAACTTCACTTGAATTTATGATAAAAGTAGATCTTCTTGAGGGCCCACTAGGCCAAATTTTGGACATTTAAAAATATCATCCTGCCTTTCCAAATTCTAAATGACCTGAAAAACTCTTAGCCCTATGTTCTACTGTTAGATCCTTCTCACATCTTCTACTGTTTCTTATGCTAACATATAAAAAGAACATAAATATCCACCTGAGGCAACACTCATAGCTCCCTGGTACAAACAGATTAAAAAGAGGAGAAATAGTAAAATAAACTTTTTATTAAATCTACTTCTGGAAATGATACTGAGTTCATATCTGTATTAAGTTAGAAAAGCATGACCACTAAAATAATACTTAAAACTTTCTGCTTTTAAGATAATTCATCTCTTTTCTCAATTATAAGGGAAAGGCACTACTTCAAACACATTTCTACTTTCACAGCCTACTTATAGTTTAAATTAATAATATTAAATATATCATATGATCTGCTATTAGTTGAGCAACACAACTTCTCAGATGCTAGTTATTGCTATCCATGGTCTCTGCTGGAGTTTGGTCTTACCCAACTGTGGTTGTAAAAACTGACACCTATCAGGACCTATCTAAAGTAGTTCACTTTCTATTGTTTTTTAGATATTAAAATCCTCTCATCTCCAGTATCTGCCAGTATTTAGCCATTTTACTAAGCCTAGTGTCTGGCATATAGTAAGCACCCTATAAACATTTGTTGAAAGAAAATTATAATTTCCCTCAGAAAATGACTGACAAAGGAATCAAAACGCATGGTTCCTTTTATTATTTACCATACTTTGTATGGACATGCTTGTCCAGCTTTGCTGAGGGAGGATGAGGCAAGGCTAGAGAGGTAGGTAAGGACCAGGGAGGCAGGTCCTTTATTAAGGAGCTTGGACTGATGTCTAAGAATAATGGAGAGCTACTGGAGGGTGTTAAGCAAGGACGTGACATGGTCAGAATTGTGGCAGTTTAGAAAGGTCCCTCTGGGTCTTGTGTGGGATGGATGGATGGATGGATGGATGGATGGATGGATGGATGGATGGATGGATGGATGGATGGATGGATGGATGGATGTGGTGGAGAGGCACTGGTTAAGAGGCTATTGTGATGCAAATGAGAGGAAATGGTGGTCTAACCCAGGATAGTGGCAGAGAAGATGGAGAAAAGTGAACAGATTTAATAGACGCTTGTAAGACTAACAAAAAAAAAAACCCATTGCTGTAGAGTCAATTCCAGCTTACAGCGACCCTCTGGGACAGAGTAGAACTGCCCCACAGGTTTCCAAGGCTATAATCTTTAAGGAAGCAGATTGCCACATCTTTCTCCCTCAGAACGGCTGGTGGGTTTGAACCATCGACCTTTCAGTTAGCAGCTGAGTGCTTAACCACTGCACCACCAGGACTCCTCTTTGTAAGACTAAACTGTAAAAAATGGGCGATTGTAGGAGGTAAGCAAGAGGAAAGAGTCAAGAATGAGGCCCAAGTTTCTGGCAGGGATACTAGGAAGGATAGTCATGCCATCATAGAAGGAGGAAAAGATTTAGATTAGCAAGAAGGAAGCCAAGTTCAACTCTGAACATGTTAGATTTGAGAATCTTCTTGTAGAAGATCCCAGCAAAAGCAAACTAGTGGTAAATTTAAATATAGGTCTGAAGCTCTGGAAAGGATTAGGATTGAAGTGCTTTTTTGAATCTTAATCCAAATTAATGTTTTGTTATCCATGAATTATTGTTATACATATTAAAAACTCACGGAAAAAGAATGAAAGCAGTTAAGATGATTTTCTCAGCACCTGATACATTATCAACTCTTTAAACACCAAACGGCTGTAAAAGGTATTTAAATTTTTCCTCTGATATTTAAACACCCTCTGTCTCTATTACGCTTGGCATTAGAGTTACTTAATGGATTAGGAAGAAAAAAAGCATAATCTTTGTTGACTTTCTTCTCTGAGTGAAATACATTTAGACGGCTGCTCCTATTGGTTCCACAAACATGCAAGGGAGCGCATATAGGAACAGGTATTTATTTTTAAATATCCAGCATTTAAACCTTACTAAGCCCATGCAGCAGTAAATTCTAAACTCGAAGTCTCATCACATTTGCGAAAGGAGGGCATTTAAGCAGACATTTGGTGAGGCCTCTTAAAATAATGTGGTTGAGAATATGCACTCTGGAGTCTGACTCTAAGCCTTGCCCCTTACAGCTCTACGATTTCGGTCAAGTTATGGCATCTCTTTGGCCGCAGGTGTCTCATCTGTAAAATAAGCATAACAGTACCTACCTCTCGGGTTTATGAGGATTAGCTATGTTACAGCACTTGAGAGCAGTGCCTGGCATACTGTATGCACTCAATATTTTCTATAATTATTTAAAAATTCTGTTAAAGACAACATTTGCTTTCTCCTAAACTCAACATCACTACTGATTAAACATCTTGGAATAATTATTTCAGATCAGGTTTTCCAATCAGAAACAGGATTTCATATCTAAGATATAACATCTGATGCTAGTCCTCTCTGAGAATTCTTACCAAACCAAAACCAGAGCCACTGTCGACCCATAGCAACCCTACAGGACAGAGCAGAACTGCCCCATAAGGTTTCCAAGTCTGTAAATCTTTACGGACAAAAGACTGCTATATCTTTCTCCCATGGAGCAACTGGTGAGTTCAAACTGCCGACCTTTCAGTTAGCAGTCGAGCGCTTAACCGCTGCACCACCAGGGCTCCTTTGAGAACTCTCAGGGGTTCTACATAATTATATAAAGTCATTATAGAATAGAATCTTACGAAGCATAGTAAGGAATGATAAGTGGACTCTTAGGAAAAGAATTTCCAGATGGCTAGGGATTACGATCAGTGCAGAAAAGATATCTGAAGTTTACTGAAATAACAGTTAATTCTTCTATAGTCCTAAAAGGCATGTCTTCATCAAAAATATGGAGAGATGAAAGGATTTTAAAATAACAGAAGTGCAAACTCAATTTAAACAGATAGATTTATCCTCATTTTCATGAAATGAGAGCTGGTTAGTCTGGGCAAACAAACTTTACCTAATGGCCCCAACAGCCCAACGAAGCAGTGATGTACGTACACGGTAACTGACCTCACAAATATGAAAGGTCATACTTCCTTTTCACCGAAAAGACCATTCTGCTCCCAGAAAGCTTTACCTGACTATACTTGAAATAAAACGAAAGCCTTACCAAATCATGAACGTGTGAGACATTCTTTTAAATTGGCATTTAACATTTTTTAAAGCAAAGGTTTAAAAATGCTTATAAATGATATACTGCTTAAAGTAAAACAAAATACTCTACTTGATCACAAATCATATCCAGTCCATACAAGTTGGATGCATCCTATACTTTAATAATCAAGACAGTTCAGCTGTTCTTCTGTAGTATGTTTCAAACAGTTAGTTAGTATATAACCTGTATATAACAACATTGCCGTGTATTGCTGTGATTTTAGTTGTTTTATATATAAGGGCCCGAAATATGTTTGCAAAATAATATTTTCCGTGAATGTCAACCAGTGTTTTTGCAGAAACACTCCACCCCAGTTATACATATCAATCTGTATCACTGAAAATAACCAGAGATGATAATTCACGAACAGAATTTCACCTCTACATAGAAGTTCCAATTGGCTCAAAAGGCAAAAGGTTGTCCTGCTCTACAAAGGTGCAGGTCAAGTTCTCAACCTCTGAGAATGAGTTCCAGTGTAGTCACTATAGCCATGTATTTGAGCTTTGTATTTATAGTAGTAGATTGGAAACCTAACTGTGGTCATACACACTAAAATAAGCTAACTCCCATATCAAAAATTAAATGCAAAAGGACTTGAGGAGATTTTGGAATCCCAATAGCACAGATTGGAAAAACTGAATACTGTACTTAGCCGTAACTCTTACATCACCCTTTAATTAAGAGGTCATTGCCACACTTACAGATTTGAGACAGTAATCTGTATCAGCACGATTAATCAATGAGTGCACTTACTACCATAAACTTGGGCCTCAAGCCATAGGATTATTTTTGCCTTTCCCCCAAAGAATCATTTGCTCTTGAAGTAATAGGCTTTTAAGGCACATTTTAATGAAAATCTATCATATACCCAGCTTAAAAATGGAAGCTCCACCTGGTTACAATAATCTATATACCTAAGTAACGTGTGGTTTATCAGATAGGCAAGTGTCTCTATCTTGAGGTTAAATTCTCATTAGAAAACTGATTCTTTACTTGGTTTTCTTATTCAAAGACAAATATTCTATAAAAAATATTAGAGAATTAGATTTATAAGAATAACCCCTATGTGTCAGGCCTGTTGGCAAGGGTCCAACAGGGTATAGCTCTGGAAGTTAGGGAAGGACCTCCCTGGAGCCCTGGGTTCCTATGTACCCAGGTTCGTCAGTAGGAATTATGAGGAAGGGAGTTAGGGTGCCTTACTGATTTTTGGAAATTCCTCCCAAAAATGCACAGACCCTTGAGAGGCTCAAACCTTAAACCCCAATCGGTTACCATCTTAAACTTCAGTTACCAGCTTGGAAGGAATAGGACTTGAAGAGAGGGAGAAGAGAAGATGGAAAGAGGCCACAGATATGAGAGGTGGGAGAGTCTCAGGGCAAGTTGCTTCAGGGACTTCATACCCTATGCTAGGACCAGCTTTGATGACCCAAGGAGGCTCTGCTTAAAAACAAAAACTTTCTAATGCCCCATAAGCATGCCTTAGAGCACTGACCCTTGGGATGGACAGAGAATCATCTACTTGGAATGGTTTGAGGTGGGGAAAGATTTAGGAGTCTCTTAATTTCCTGATAGTCTAAAGTAAACATAAGTGAAAGAATTTCATAGAAACAAATACACAGCTAATTGTAATGCCTCCATTGGCCATCCTTTCCACACTGACAATCAGGAATTTTCAGAATGGCTCTCCAGCCTTATAGAGCGAGCTGGTGGCCAGCTGAGCTCTGGTTCAATCATAAGGTGGGAATGGGCAGAGTCCACAAGACACACTGTTGCAAAGACGAAAAGGAGACTCAGAGGTGACAAATGTGCCCAGCAGGATTCCGTTACGCAGTGGAGATCTGAGACCGGCTCCGTTCACTGTGGTCAAGAAGCAGTAACAAACTGGCCCTAAACATTTTAAATGTATAACAGGAGGCCCATTTCACAAGGGCCAGAAATTCAGAAATGTATATACATACACTATGTATATATATTTTGTTTAGTCTACACTTGCCAATCACCTACATTTGTGAAACTTTATGACCTCTGATGTTAATTCAGTTCCAGGTGACAGGTAAAAGAAAAGCCTCCAGAACCCCTGCATTTCAGCAAAACGCTTATTTCTCTCCAGTGGTCGGCACCATGTTGGAAATCTGGTCCCAAAGGTTCTAAAGAACAGTAGTACAGCACAAAGAACTAACCTCTCTGTGTAAAGTGACTATAGAGATGTGTGTTGAGGTAAAGAGCTTCATAAAAATTGAGTAGGGGAACACTGCCACAACTATAGAAATGTGTATATAAGTTTGGTGCTAATACTATTCTACAAAACTCCTGTTTACACCCATTATAACAGAGGACAGTTCTTATTGCTACTGGAGCCTGCTGCCCCAATCTGATCCAGCTCTACTGAAAAAATGATTTTTCTCAATAATTGGTAGGAAATATTCCCAAATTTATAAAAAAAAAGTTGTTGCCAATGCATCACTTTTCAATTAATTTCTGATTGCCATATGTATATGGACTCCAGTATGCACGTCCTTTATACCAAGTACAGAAAAAAGCTTAGAAAAGTAGTTTATCAAAGTTCAGTTCACTGAGAAAAAAACATGAAAAAGTGCAAAATATATACAGTTCCTGGCAGTTCTCATACGTGATTTTTCTTACTACAGACCAAAAAAGTTTTCATTTGTGTAACAAAATTACAGTGGATTTCACTTCATTATTAATATACAAGCTTTTGCTTCAAAGTGCTTACAGGTACTTTATTTAAAAAAGAGAAGATGAAGTGGGTTGCAGGAATCTTTTTTTTTTTTTTTAAACAAGCGATCTATGTCACGTGTCCCAGTCTCCTTCGTCCCCTTCTTTTAGCGCAACCCGCTGCAGCAGCCTCACCAAAAAGGTCTGATTTCAAAAGATGTTCCTGAAACCTCACCTACAGCAGCACTCTAGGGGTCCCATTGGGGGTGGCTCCTTTTTTCTTCTGCAGCCGATTCTGAACCTTTCGAGATTTCACCACTTTCATCCTCACCTCAAAGACTTCGTGGATGGCCTTCCGGAAGCAATGAAAATTATAGTCAATGAGTCCTGGAGAAGAGAACAAAAATATCCACAAACGTCACATAGAAATAATTTCCATTTCTGAATTTTTCCATCACCTTAACAGAAGCTCAGCGTCCCTAAGCAGTGATGCCCTCATCCCCTCTCCCTCTAGCCCCTGGTAACCACTAATAAACTTTGGTCGCTGTATGTTTGCTTATTCTAAGCATTTCCTCTAGATGGGATCATACAATATTTAAAAATGCATAGTGGTGATGGTTGTATGACATCATGAACTGAATTGTACATGTAAAAGATGTTGACATGGCAAATGTTTTTGTTATATATGTATATAAATCCATTGCCGTCAAGTTGATTCCAAGGCACAGTGACCTTACAAAAAAAACTCCACCTTTTCATGTCTGACATGGCCAGGACAAGCCAGTAGGGGGCAATAAAGGAGCAGTCTTAACATAAGGCCCAGCGATCTCTAGGTCTCCAGATGGGCTTCAGGAATTGCAGTTTTACCTTCCAGAATTAAGGATTCCTTATAACTGAGAGGAAACCCTGGTGGCGCAGTGGTTAACAGCTACGGCTGCTAACCAAAAGGTTGGTAGTTCAAATCCACCAGGCGCTCCCTGGAAACCACATGGGGCAGTTCTACTGTCGTACAGGGTCACTGTGAGTCAGAACAGACTCAGCAGCAACAGGTTTGGTTTAGTTTTTTTTTTTTTTTGGTTTACAATTAAGATACATTTTTAATTAAAAAAAAAAATTTCCCTAGACGGTGTTATTAAATTGAATCTGAATGGAGGCAGATCCTGACTTAGAGTGTGGCTGAGATCTCAAAGTCACAATCAATAAATATTTTAAGCCATAGTCTTAAGCTCTGAGGAAAGCAAAGTTGAATAAAAAAGAGTCAGCTCCAACCTCAGGAATTAAAAACATCAATGACAGTCCCAGCTTTCCAGTAGTAACTAAATTTTAAATGGAGAAATAGCAGAAGAGAAATCCTTTTATGTCTGCAGAAAAAATTTAGTGGTACAAAAATATAATAAAAGGTCATCCAAGGTCTTTAGGAAATACATTATAAGAGAATGCACCTTCATCATTACCATTAATTGGTGTACAAGTTAAGAGCAACATTATGGTTACACCACTTAAGATAATGTGGTTGGTTCGATTTACTATCTTTAAATTTATTAAAATACCAAGCTATTTTCCCATAGCCCAGCAATTATTTCCATCCAGTTAGGTGATGCTTCCGGAGCCCCAACGAAAGACAGAGTTGGGATTCCAGCCAGGGAGTGAAATTCTTCAAATTAGTCATACAACTGCAAATGCACTTGGGGTGGGGGCACCGTCTCAGCTTCCAGGAGCAGCGAGAAAACATGGTGGGGGGGGGAGCCGCTGCTGCTTCTGTAACCATAGTGAGCCACGAGCGCAGTAAATTTAGGAGACTATTTCCTTGAGAAAAGACTAATGAGTCAATAAAGGGGAAAATCACAAAAATAAACAAGGGGCAAAGAAATAATTTTATTTAGTGAGAATTTGGGTAGGAGATGTGAGCACATCCTCAAAATCCTCTGCTTACATATGCAATAAACTGCCCCAGGAAGAAAAAGATACGCTGGCTTAGCTAAAGAAAGTCAGCTCAGTGAGAAGGGTGCAATTAAATACTAGCTTGGGAAAATTTCAGAGACATTCTATTAATAATTCTCAACAAATCTGAACTTATTCATCTTTGCACATTTGAAAATGTAGCAGTAATCTTGCTGCATGTGGAGTCTTAAGGGTAAAAAAGTAAAAGTTCACAGCTTGGGTTTTCAAAGGAAGTAACCATGTGGAAAAAGCGTTTGCTGTTTGCACCCTTTTGTTAAAGGCAGTGGAAAATTCAAGGACGGAGACATGAGCAGAATAAACACTGTCTTCACCACCACTCCCATTAATGCAGTCCCACATCCTTCTCTGGTGCCACACATTAAAAACACCCAGGGAACTTTGAAAAAAATCAGCAAAGCGGAGGCCCCTCTCCCAGAAATTCTATTCTAATTGTTTAGAGCAAGGCCCAGCTATCCGTACTTTCTAACTGCCTCCCTCCCATGGTGCCTATAATATGCAGTCAAGACTGAGAACCCCACATCTACATTCAATCGTCTCTGCCAAAGCAGCCAAGGAGATCATTAATGAAACTCAGAACAAGACCAGCATGAAGAACAGCTAATTAACAAACCTTGATTATTACTACCAACAGGACGCAGCAACACTTGAGACTAAAGCAACAACAAAATCAAACTGCACTTGCATTTACAAACATTAGGTTCTTTTTAAAGACGACTATATGACAGCTGCCAATGCACCTCATGCTCAGCCACCAGCCCTCTGTCAGTGAGGTTTGGGTGTTGCTGAACAGGTTTCAGTGGAGCTTCCAGACTAAGATGGGCTAGGAAGAAAGGTCTGGCGATTGACTTCTGAAAACTAGCCAATAACAACCCTATGGATCACAATGGTTCAATCTACAGCCAACCACGGGGATGGCGCAGGACTGACAGTGTTTCATTGCATTGTGCAGGGGGTTGCCATGAGTCAGGGTAAACTTGATAGCAGCTAACAACAACAACACATCATAGCCAGGGCAACCAACTCATCTCAGTTTGACAGGGGCTTTCCCAGTTTTAGCACTGGAAGTCCCCCATCCCAGGAACTCCCCAGTAATGGTCACCCTAAATATCACAAATTCAAAATGATGGAATTAAACATTAAGTCTGCACACTTACTTAGATTTCTTAGTTGTGATATCAAAGCTAATACCTAGGTTTCTAGCTAGCTTGATAAATTCGACAAAATCTGCCTATCCTCAAAGATGACCTCACCACCACCCACCGCTGTCCAGTCGATTACGACTCATAGCAACCCTGGATGACACAGTAGAACTGTCCCATAGGGTTTCCAAGGAGCAGCTGGTAGATTTGAACTTCCAACCTTTTGGTTAGCAGATGAACACTTAACCACTGTGCCATGGAATAATCTACCAAAGATCTCCATGATAAATGCCTGCTTAAATTTAATCCCACAATCACTGATGGATGATAAAATTAGTGGACTAGAGTTTGTGGAGAAACAGGATTTTCATAGTTTGAAAAATATTTATTAACTGCAAAGGAAAAGATAAAAACTTTTCAGCAGAAAAGCCCTGCAGACTCTATGTTAACTAAGTGGTCATGGTTAACATCACCAGTAATAAGACATGTCAACATCATGAAACCCCCGGATACTATGACGAACTGAGAAGGACACAATATCATTTCTGCATGGTATTCTTGCAAAAATGCGTAATTTCTTTCTAATTGTGTGAAAACACCAGACAAATCCAAATTAAGAGATAGTCTACAAAATGATCAGTACTCTTCAACAGGGCCAAGGTCACAAAAGACAAGAAACAATCACAGATTGGAGGAGACCAGCAGAAATACAACTAAATCAATTTCCCAGTTTAGACCAAAAACCCATTGCTGTCAAGCAGACTCCGACTCATAGCAACCCTATGAACAGAGCAGAACCGCCCCATAGGGTTTCCAAGGTTGAAATCTTTACAGAAGCAGATTGTCACATCTTTTTCCTGCACAGCAGCTCATGGATTCAAACCATTGACCTTTCGGTTAGCAGCTAAGTGCTTTAAGCACTCTGCTACCAGGGCTCCTCCAGTCTAGACAGCAGGTGGAAAATAAGGGTATCTTTATAAGGTTAATTGCTTTTGTTTTAAAATCAAACTATATTTGGCCCTAAAATTATGTGAAGTCGTTAAGTATACTCATTCTACCTTTTGGGAATCATGATGCTATCCCCCTGTGTTTTAGAGGACTTATGAATGTATGAAAGTGGAACAGAAGTTACATACTGTTTAAGTTCAGTGTTGTATGAGTTCTGTCAGCCCCTCTTTTAGTGGGGAGAACAAATGGTCACAAGGTCACCTAAGACCTTCTTATGGGCCAAGAGGGAGACCTCTACCCTCAGGGTAGGCTCAGGAAGTCCTCTCCTTGACAAGAGACTCTACTGCTATGAGTCAGAATCCACTCAACAGCACACAACAATATGCACTCACAGAAAATCTAAAGCCCCTGGGAGACCCACCTAATTCTACTTCCGTCACACTGCAGCTGCACCACTAGAGGGCAGGCTGGTTCACTCATCCCAGAAGTCTGCCGCCCCTTCAGGCTACCTGTTGGCTAAGGGGGCCTATGACAGAAGTCTGGAAGCTGCAAGGACCATACTGTGTTGTCTATCCACATTCAACAAGCAATAAAAATAGTATTATACTAAATTGAAATGTTTCTTTTAAATCACACACAAAAAAATACCTTTTCTTTCAAAGCTCTCCTCTCTGACAAAGCAAACAAGAGCCAGGAACTTTGTCACTTCTTTTAAATAAAGAACTGTTGTATTATTCAGCTTTATAATGGCTGTTGATTCCTTGTCATAGGGGGTTCCAGCTCCATCTTCTTTGAGGCTGAATGGGGACAGAAACCAAAATGTATTTGACTATTGACAAAGAACTACAAATTGTAACCCAGTGACAGAGACCAACTTTCACACACAGAAATGATAATCATAATGATAAGTAGTTTACACTTACAGTGCCTGTCAGCAAAAGATCTCAGAAACACACAATCAGAAGAATGTAAACAGTGTGTGAAAGTCACTTCCCTAATAACACAGTGAGTGGCTGTTTCGGCAGTGGAGCAACACTCCAGGCACCTGGGGAACACAGGTGAGGAACGGAGGTTAGCTCTTCTCCCCTCTGTGGCCCACAGGACTTCTTGTTTAGCTCCTGACAGAATAACTAGGCTGTCAGACACGTGGCCTGAAGAAAGACAAAGAGGTGCTGAAGAACTGTTCCAAATGAAAAGAGCTTAAGGGACACGAAAGGAACCCTGGCAGGGCAACGTTAAGTGCTCAGCTGCTAACCAAGGGGTCAGCGGTTCGAACCCACCAGCAGCTCCGAAGGAGAAAAGACTTGGTGATCTGCTCCCATAAAGATTACAGCCTACAAAATCCTTAGGGTCAGTTCTACTCTGTCATATAGGGTTGCTATGAGTTGGAATTGACGCAATGGTGCATGCACACATACAAAGAGACATGAGAGCCAAAATCCTGGAATGGACCCTGGATCAGAGAAGACTGCTATAAAGGTAGAATTGGGACCATTGGTAAAAATCTGAATGTTGTTGTTGTTAGGCACCATTGAGTCAACCCTAAGTACAACAGGAACGGAACACTGCCTGGTCCTGAGCCATCTTCACAATTGCTGCTATGATCGAGCCCATTGCTGCAGCCACTGTGTCAATCCATCTCAATGAGGGTCTTCCTCTTTTTCAATGACCCTCTACTTTACCAAGTATGATGTCCTTCCGCAGGGACTGGTTCCTCCTGATAACATGTCCAAAGTACATGAGACAAAGTCTCGGCATTCTCACTTCTAAGGAGCATTCTGGCTATATTTCTTCCAAGACAGATTTGTTTCTTCTTCTGGTAGTTCATGGTATATTCAATATTCTTCACCAACACCATAATTTAAAGGTGTCAATTATTCAGTCTTCCTTATTCATTGTCCAGCTTTCCCATGCATGCAGCGATTGAAAATACCATGGCTTGGGTCAGGTGCACCTTAGTCCTCAACATGATATCTTTATGCTAAGCAAATAATCTGGGAAGGTGGACTACATGAAGAAGAATGTGGCATCATGAGTGGAGGAAGACTCATTAACAACCTGCCATACGCAGATGACACAACGTTGCTTGCTGAAAGTGAAGAGGATTTGAAGCGCTTACTGATGAAGATCGAAGACTATAGCCTTCAGTATGGATTATACCTCAACATAAAGAAAACAAAAATCCTCACAACTGGACCAATAAGCAACGTCATGATAAACAGAGAAAAGACTGATGCTGTCAAGGATTTTACTTTACTTGGATCCACAATCAATACCCACGGAAGCAGCAGTCAAGAAATCAAATGACATACTGCATTGGGCAAATCTGCTGCAAAAGACCTCTTTAAAGTGTTCAAAAGCAAAAATGTCACGCACTTTGCACATGTTATCAGGAGGGACCAGTCCCTGGAGAAGGGCATCATGCTTGGTAGAGGGTCAGCGAAAAAGAGGAAGACCCTCAAGGAGAAAGACTGACACAGTGGCTGCAACAATGGGCTCAAACACAGCAGCAATTATGAGGTTGGCGCAGAACTGGGCAATATTTTGTTCTGTTGTAAACAGGGTCACTATGAGTTGGAACTGTCTCGACAGTACTTAACACCAACAAGTTTATGAATAATTAACCAGAAATTTGACTTGACACGGATTGGTGCCAATCCTTACTAATGCACTATAATAATTCAGCTGGTACCAAACATTATCACTTTCACATAGTAAGAGTTGCTGCTAGTTGCTGTCAAGTTGGTTCTGACTCATGGAGACCCCATGTGTTATACAGTAGAACTGCACTCCACAGGGTGTTCAAAGCTGTGATCTTTCAGAAGCCGACTGCCAGGTCTGTCTTCCAAGGCACCTCTAGGTAGGTTCGAATCACCAACCTTTTGCCTAGGAGTGCTTAATCGTTTGTGCCACCCAGGGACTCCATAATAAGCACTTACTATGTGAAAGGCACCACCTTAGTCCTTACCATGCATTGTTAGGCGTAAGAATCCTCTGAGTTAGGTACTAAGGAAACTGAGGCTGGGGGAGATCATGTAAGTTCATGATACGGGTAGAGCCAGGACCTTTTGGTTAGCAGCCGAGTTTAAAATACTTTCAAAACTAGAAGTCAACAGTTTCCTTTAAAATACTCTACAATTCAAGCCTTTCATTAAATCTGTCTTGCCACCCTACCCCCATTATGGAAGGTGATATTCTACAAAGCAATGAAAACAGACAATGATGGAACTTCTTTAAAAATGTGTGTGTAGAGTTGACCAGCTGCAGCAGAACCTCGCCTGACATTGCCAAGCAGACCCACTGAGGCGCCAGCTCACCTCTTCTTAGGCCTGCTGGTCTCCACTGAGTAGCTGGGAAACTGCAGCAAGACTGCAATCACAAGGCCACCTGCTTCCTAGCTGCCTAGTGAGGGTCACAGGCTCTACACACATTCCTGCCCCGCCCCCTGCTGGTTAACTGAGCTGGCTCATTGCTGCTCCAGCAAAGAATCTGATGAAACCCAGAGCCATGTCCCACTTGTGACCCAGACTGGTTCTGACTGAGCCCAGTGGGTTCTCAGGAATACTGCAATCTACCACAGGAAAATAATTTGACAGCAAAGCCCAGCTTCCTCCTCTTCCCAGCTCCTCTGAGCTCCCCATGTTTGTTTTAGCTGGGTAAGAGTAACTCTGATTAGCATCATTTACATGAACAACTTACCACTTATGTCTAATTACCATATGGCACAATAATGATTATGCATATCGTTAAATATGTGCCAAATTGTGTTGCTCACTGTATTTGATTACAACAGCCATCTAGACTGTAATCAGGGTACATTCAGCTTCCATGACGATTTCAAGGTCATCTACTTACTGTTTAAAAATAATAGAATACTACATGGCAGCAATCTTGGGAAATAAGGTCTACTTCTAAAGCTAGATGGCAGTTTTAGTAATAATAATAATGGTAGCTACATTTATCCAAGGTTTATCATATTATGAGCCTGACGATATTTCAACCTCACTATAATCCTATGAGCTAAGTATCACTTTCCTATTTCATACAGGAAGAGACTTAAATGACTTGCATATGGTCACAGCTAGAGCTGGGATTCACACACAAATCTGTTGGTCTTTCGTCTTGGCCAAGTGAATGGAGGGAGGGCGTGAAGGAAATGGGCACATGGGCTCATAGCTGAGAACGACTTTCACATGCTTGTATGACACCCTGGATTAGTAAGATCACACCACATATACCAAATACTCACTTGGGAAGGTTACGAAGGAAAGTATGTTGTACACACGCACACACAACCATACATGACTTCACTTCTTCCTCTATTGCCTATGTTTGAGCGCCTGGGCTTGACCTCATGTGAATGTCTGCCCTGCCCTAGTGAGAAAGGTAGGAGCTAAGAGTTAACAGAGAGAATCTGAACTGAGTGGGCAAATGGTTTTCACACAGTGGAAGAGGGAAATGGCGAGACTGAAACTCTCAGCAGAAGCTGACAGAAGAGAGAGGGTGTCAAGCTGTGTAAGGCCGTTCATAGCCAGTGAGTAAAGAGGAAGATGAGTAAAGGGAACAAGAACTCTGAGTGGACTTTTTAATGGGACATTTACAAAACCTTTACTCATCAATGATTTAGTGACGATGTAAGGTCCAATAAAAATAGACAGCACCATCTAGATGTCCAAATAAGATAGACAAACACAAACTAGTTCACACCCATTCACTCTGTACCACAGCTGTTCAGTAAACTTATAATTATGCAGAATTGTTTCTATGACTGGTAACATAATCAATTTCTCCAGTCCTTGTTTATTTTATATTATTTTAAATGTACATAAAGTTCTATTTTCTAGGCATGTAATGAGACCATAATAATAAATAATAATAAACAGGTAATGTTGTTTGCTTAGTTTTGTAATTCTCTCTGCTGCCCATAATAGAAGACAATCAAAAGTACATTAAAAAAAAAAAACTAAAAACAAAACCCGGAAGCTAGTTCCTGTAACAAAGAAGATAACAGCACTATTGTTAATGTAAGTTATTTATTTAGAGTTCAAGGATCCTATTGGTCTCTCCCAAATGTATGACATTATATGTTGACAGATTTCTCAGTAGTGGGGCCAGTAATCAGCTCGACCTGAGCTCAAGTTCTAGTTCCACTCCTTACTGACAGTATGAGCAGGAGTTAGAAACTTAACTACTCTGGGCCTGTTTCTCCATCTGTAAAATGGGAATAGTAACTCCTGCCTCGTGGAACAGGTGAGAATTAAATGATATAATACATGCAATGAGATTATTAGCAAAATGCCAGGCATTTGCAGAATAATTATTGTTATTTCACACTAAATGATACTGCTATTTATAGATCTTGATCATTTAAAACAGAAGTATTAAAATCAAATAAATTAATGCAACAATGTCTTAAAGGTAATGAAAGAGAAGTATGGGTTGACTAAGACCTTTAAGAATGTTCTACTTACCCATAAATACAAGAGATGTCGATAACCACGTCTATCATATCACAGCACAGCTCATAGGTTTGCATATCCACTGGGGTACTATCAGTTGCAATATAAATTTTACTGACTACATCAAATAGAAATGCCTTTTCAATCCCAGAATTCTGAAACAAAAAGAAGACGCTGCCTTAGAGTGACAGCTGATTTCAGACATCACAGGTGTATAAAATTATATGCCATCCTCAATGTAAAATATAAACAAGCAAAAATTGCACAACTAAAAATTTAAGTTGTGGCATTTCATTATAATTCAAACTTCACAGTCATAAACTTCTTAATAATGGAACTGCATCAGAAATGAAAACTAGAAGTTAATTATCATAAATTATTTAAGTAAACAAACTGGGCAGTGTTTCTTAACTCTTAGAGATGTACCTGTAGTTTAGAAAAAGCCAGGTAACAACACTAACCAACATAGTATTATACACCAAAAAAAGTGAATTTTACCAACTGTAAATTAAAAAAACAAATTTAAAAAATCTAAACAAACAAAAAGCCCATTGCCATCGAGTCGAGTTCGACTTACAGCAACCCTATAGGACAGAGTAGAACTGCCCCGTAGGTTTTCCAAGGAACGGCTGGTGGATTTGAACTACCGACCTTTTGGTTAGCAGCTAAACTCTAAACAAACTAACCAACCCAAAATTGTGCAGTGACAGAGTCAATGTGAGTCTAACTAACAGGTCTCCTGAAGCCACCCTGCTCACCTGCAACTCTGCAGAGTCTGCCTGGAGCTGGCGGTTTGTAGGACTCATTCAGCACATTCTTCACGTGGTGTTTGTTAAGATATAAAAATATATTCAACAACTTATGTTCTATTGCCAAAATCAGGTCTTATGCTTTCTATCTCTGATAGGGCTCTATCAATACTGAATGATTGCCTACAACTTGAATAAACAGTCCAACTCTACCAGTGAAATACAGGAGTGAAAATTTAAAGGATGCAAAACAGTATCTATGAGCGCCTCTATGCTCATTGCACCGAAAGGTGTCAGAGGCATGCTGGGGCTGAGGCTTTGGCACAGGTTAGGCTGGTGGGCAGGCAGGAGGGGCGATCACCTCTGGGGAAGTGACAGGGCTGGGAGGCACAGCACATTCTACAGGGTGAAAGGGAAGTATAGGGAGAAAAGTCACTGTCTCTCAAAATATTTGCAAAATATAAGTTTGCAAATAAAATTAAAAAAATCAAGGGGCCATCTTCAAAAGTAACACTCAAGTGACTTTGAATTGCAGTAAGAACAAGCAGAAATAAGATTTCTTCACTCTTACAATGTCATTCTCAAATTCTGCAAAACATGGGCATATTATTTACTTACTGAAATAAAGATGTTTAGCAAATTCTCCAGGGTTGGGAGCTGTGGAATCAGTTTCTGGACTACTTTGCTAAATGCTTCAAATATTGAATGATCATAGATGCTTGTCAGATAAAAGCTGAAAGAGGAAACAGTATTTCATCACGTTTTACTTTTGACTGAGGACTAGATTGCTTAGGTTATGTTGTAACACCAGTAGCCTGCCTTCAGTATCTGCAGTTCTAACACACACATTCTATTCTAGCCTTCTTCAAATTAAAAATGACCTCCTTCAAAAAATGAGCAAGCCAACCCCGCCTCCTGCCCCCTTCAAAAACAAGAACTACGCCTATTTTTGCCTGTTGACTGACTGGATTAGAAAGCTGACAAATACAGCGGTATGTGCCCATACCAGCTTCCCTAGGTTCTGCAAGACAATCATCTTTACACACTCCTATTAGGTTGTCCAAGGAGCCCTTGTGGTGCAAAAGTTAAGCGCTCAGCTGCAAATTGCAAGGCTGGCAGTTCAAACTCGTGGGAGAAGAAAAGCCTGGCGATTTGCTTCTGTAAAGATTACAGACTAGAAAACCTTACGTGGCAGTTCTACTCTGTCATATGAGGTCACTATGAGTTGAAAATCGACTCAGCAGCATACAACAAGAAGCAACATTAGGTTGTCTAGTTAGTAGCTATCATATTAGTGATATTGAAACATCTAAATGTTTTCATTCTCCAATGTGCAAAATGAATGATGCATGTACCATTACACCAAAAATGATAGTGAAGTGGCTTTCCTCTGTGGATATTTCTATTTGAATTATTTTCAGAATACTCCTCTATTTATGATTATACCTGTTGCCATCGAGTCGATTCCAACTCATGAAGATGCCATGTGTCACAGAGTACAACCTCTCCATAGGGTTTTCTTGGCTATAATCTTTACAGCAACAGATCACAAGGCCTTTCTTCCAAGCCACCTCTGGGTGGGTTTGAACCGCCAACCGTTCAGTTAGTAGTGGAGCACAAACTGTTTGCGCCACCCAAGGAGCCATTTCTGATTATAGATACTATTATGTTTATCAAGAACTGAAAACTTCAACATCTATTAACTTCTTGGATTATGTCCACAGTTTTAGGTTGTATGTTTCGTATTTGGGGAGAGTCTTAGCTTTGACCACATGCTAAAACAAAAACACTACTTTTACCAAAGATTAGAATTAGCACATTCAAAGCTTGCTTTTCCCAAATCCTATCCCAATGTCTACAGTTCAAAACAGGGTAAACAGGTAAATGACTGCATATGCCAGGCCAGTCATGGTGGCTTTGGGCCCCAAATCTGCTTTTTTCTGTCTAATACTATGACCTCAGAGCAATTTCTGTTCTCACCTGAGGTGAATTTTTTCTAATCCAGCATCTGCAAGGTCATCATTTGCCCTCTGGTGAATATCTCTTTGGGTTTCAATTTTGTGGTCATCTGACAGCCCATCCACTTTATGAATAAACACTTCAAAGTTGATGTCGGTGTTCACTTTGTAGGCCCTGGTCACCGTGAGGTGGAGCCTGGCCAGGGCTTCCATGTAATCATCCTAGGAACAAAGATGCACCTTGTTAGAGCAGGCACCAGGAGAAGGGGTTTTGCTTCCTGAAGCCTTCTAAACTGCCTTCCATATACACTTAATCTCTGGAAACCACATGGGTACAATCCCAAAAATACTTTGCAAAGGCCCAAATAATTCTATGGTTTCACAGGATTCAAATCTGAAAACTTAAGATTTTCTAGTTAAAGAGAAGAAAAAGGCTAGCAAATGGCAGCTAGAGAAGGGAATGTAAATCATTCAGCCGCTGCAGAAAACAGTTTGGAGGTTCCTCAAAAAAGTTAAATTATCTTATGACCCAGCAATTCTGCTCCTAGATATACATCCAGAAAGAGGGAAAACTAGGTACTCAAACATATATGTGTACATATATGGTTATAGAAGCACTATTCACAATAGCTAAAAGGTGGAAACCCCCCAAATGTCCATTAACTGATGAATGGATAAACAAAATGTGGCATACACATACAGTGGATTACGCAGCCATAAAAAGAATAAAGTACTGATACATGCTACAACATGGATAAACCTCAAAAACATTGTAAGTGAAAGAAATCAGACACATTACAAAAACAAACATTGTACAACTCCATTTATATGTAATGTCCAGAATAAGCCAATTCATAGAGACAGAATGCAGACTGGTGGTTGCCAGGGGTTGAGGGGAGGAGAGATGGGGAGAAACTGCTTAACGGGCATGGGGTTTTATTGTATGGTGATGGAAGTGTTTTGGATGTGAATGCACTAAATATCACTGAATTGTTCACTTTAAATTGGCTAATTTTAAGTTATGTGAATTTCACCTCAACAATTTTTTTAAAAATTAAAAAATAATATAGCTGTAGGCAGTTGTGATTTATGTTGGTGATAGTCATAAGGACCAGAGTTACAGGTGTCTACGTAGCTTGTCAATAATTAGGAATTGTTGGTAACTGGGATTCATGAAGAAAAACTGACCCACAACACCTAGGACCTCCCTGGGACCATTCTTCCCAGCTTTCCAAGACTCTTGGTGAACTGAGATGAACAATAAGAGACGAAGACATGATACGGGTCACTGGGCAGACAGGGAAGGAGCCAGCAGGAGAAATTTTGAGAATCACTGGTCTAAAGCAGAGGTCAGCAAACCATGGCCCACTGGCCAAACTTGATCCACTGCCCATTTTTTGCAGATAGTTTTACTGGAACACAGTACACTCACATTTGATTATGTACTGTCTATCGCTGCTTTCATGCTACAACAGCAGAGCTGAGTAGTTATCCTCTGTGGAAACTCCTCAGAGATAGTAGTGTGCAAAGCCTGAAATATTTACTATCTGGCCCTTTACAGAAAAATGTTGCCAACCCCTGGTCCAAAGTAATTGCCCCAAATTACACAATGCAACTTTTTTCTTCTTCCTACATATGACGTGAGTTAGAATCGACTCAGCGGCACCCAACAACATATGATACTCAACACCTACATAATAACAGAACAAACATCTATATATCCATCTTTCAGTCTAAGAAATAAAACAGTAGACACTGAAGCCCAGTGCTTCCCCCCGTTCTTCCCGCCCACACCATCCCTCTATCCCCTGCTCTCCAGAAGCAACCACTATCCTGAGTTTAGTATTTATTCCCACTCATCTCTTCATACATTTAATACATACATACATATCCCTAAGTAACATACAGAATTCATTCACATCATTTTAAAATTTACAGGAAAATCAAGCTGCCCCAAATCAATGTTATAATTTGCCTTTTTCACTAAACATCATGTCAGCGAGATTCACCTATGATAAAATACATAACTCCAGTGCATACTTACTTTCTGCTCTACCAGTTATGTATGAGTATAGACAATGATAATGTGGACAGTCTCATGCATACTTGTTTGTCCCTGTTTGTGAGTTTTCTAGGGTTTGCCCTGAGGGCAGTATTTGCTGGGTCCAGGGCTTCCAACCCCTGCTGAGAATTTGCATTTCTAACAAGTTCCCAGATGATACCAATGCTGCTAGTTAGGGACCAGTTCTAAGAACCACTAGTAAAACAGTGGTTCTCAAAATTTATTATCCACAAGAATCTTCAGGGATCTTGCTAAAATGTAGATTCTGATTCAGTATATCTGGGGTGGAAATGCAAATTCTCCGCAGGGGTTTGAACTGCAACAAGCCTTGGCTGGGTCATGGATATACATACCTTCAACTTGAATACATAGTGTTACAGAGTGCCCCACGTCCAGACACCTGCACCAGTATAGGGTGTTACCAGATCTCTTGATTTTTATCAGTTTGAAGGGTGTGAACAGGTTTTGTTTTTATAGCCAAAAAAACAAACTTATAAGAGAGAAGTTAAAGGACTTTTCATCACCCATTATGACTCTGTGGTTAGGTGCCATCAAGTTGATTTTTGACTCATGGTGACCCTATGTGATAGAGAAAAACTGCCCCAAAGGGATTTCTAGGCTGTAATCTTTACGGAAAGGAGCCCTGGTGGTGCAGTGATTAAAGTACTTGGCTGCTAACCAAAAGGTTGGTGTCTCAAACTCACCAGCCCCTTCTCGGGAGAAAGATGTAGCAGTCTGCTTCCATAAAGATGTGCAGCCTTGGAAACCCTATGGGGCGGTTCCACTCTGCCCTATAGGGTCGCTATCAGTCAGAATCGACTCGAGAGCAGTGGGTTTGGTTTTTATCTTTACAGAAGGAGCCCTGGTGGCACCCAGTAGCTCCGCAGGAGAAAGAACCGGCGATCTGCTCCCACACAGACTACAGCCTAGGAAACTCTATAGGGCAGTTCTACTCTCCTATAGGGTCACTGAGTTGGAATCGACTTAACAGCACTCAACAGCAACAACAGTCTTTACAGGAGCAGATCACCAAGGCTTTCTCCCGCGGAGCTGCTAGGTGGGTTGGAACTGCCAACCTTTCGGTTACCAGCAGAGCACTTAACCACTGTGCCACCAGGGCTCCTATTATGACTTTAAACCTGAACAAATACTGAAAGCCAATATAACAGGGTTTTTTTTTTTTTTGCATTCAAACTAAACAAAAACTTATGCCTAGTCTCTAGACAAATCAAAATATTAAAGATACTAACAGAAAAATATGGAGACGAAAAACAGCAAATGCAGTCCTTCTCATCTCTCACACTCTGTAGAGTGGTTTACGATCAAAGGTAAATACTGGACACAGAGGTCAGCAGATTAAGCATTTTAGAAGTAAAAATTCTAGATTAATGATTTGCAGCACTTTTTTAACACCTTAAACTATCTCAAACAAAAGCTACCGTATGCTTCCGCATATATGAAATCCTAGAAAAGGCAAACTATAGTGACAGAAAGCAGATCAGTGGTTGCTTGGGAATGGCGGTTGGGTGGCTGTCTTGGAAACAGCACCAGGGGACTGTCTAGAGTGGTAGAAATATCCTATATCTTGACTGTGGGGGTGGTTACATGGTGTACACACATCAAAACTCATTGAACTGTGCATCGAAATGGGTACATTTTACTGTATGTAAATTATACTTAAAAAACAAACTTATTATTGCTTATGTCTTTAACTGAAGAAGGGAGTTCAGGGGGCATGTCTGTGAGCAAAACAAGCCAATGTGAACACAGCACCATAATCTCAAACAATTAGAAACTGCTTCTCTAACCTTCCTTGCCAAGCATATAAAATCACCCCCATGGTCTGAATATCAACTGTCATGGATTGAATTGTGTCCCCCAAAAATATATGCATCAATTTGGCTAGGCCATGCTTCCCAGTATTGCGTGATTATCCACCGTTTTGTCATCTGATATGATTTTCCTATGTGTTCTAAATTCTATCTCTATGATGTTAATGAGATTAGTGGCAGTTATGTTAAAGAGGCAGGGCTCAATCTACAAGATTAAATTGTGTCTTAAGCCTATCTCTTTTGAGGTACAAAAGAGAGAAGCGAGCAGAGAGACATGGGGACTTCACACCAAGAAAGCAACTCCGGGAGCAGAGCCCGTTCTTCGGACCTGGGGTTCCTGCATGGAGAAGCTCCTCAACCAGGGAAGATTGATGACAAGGACCTTCCCCCAGAGCCAACAGAGACCGAAAGCCTTCTCCTGGAGCTGGCGCCCTGAATTCGGATTCTAGCCTATTAGACTGTGAGAGAATAAACTTGTTTGTTAAAGCTATCCATTTGTGGTATTTTTCTTGTAGCAGCACTAGATGACTAATACACTAACGACCTGATGAAAAGGTACATAGCTACAAGGACTCAAAAATGACATTAAAAGAAGAAGGGAAAAAAGGAATACTTGGTTTATTAGAGTAGAGGCATTGGAGATGATGTTCCCCATTTTGAAATGTCTGTATTTATTATCTTCTAGGAAAATAAAGACAGAGGGAAAAAATACTGCCTAGGGTTTACTTCAATATTAGATATAGGAATTACTGGAAGGTCACAATCACTGACACAGGCCAAACTCTCTTTTGGATCCAAAGGCATATGTGGAATGGCTTCGGGGGTGGAGGTGGCCCTGGAGACTGTGGGGGCATCAGGTCCCACGTTTCGCTCAAGGGAAATCACTCTGGATGCACTTTCATTCTCTCTGCTTTCACAACATTCTGTGAGGACACATTTTCTCGTTGGTGATATATTTATCTGGCAATCCTGTGATTATGAAGAATTCACAAGCAGAAAATAAAAATATGAGGTGTCACACCAACAGAGCACTGCTTAGAAATAAAGGGAATGTCACTAAAGTGCCGCCTAGACACTTTCCTATGGTTTGATTTTTTTTTTAGTGCTTGTAATCACGTCACACAGATTCCTGCAAAGGAGATTTTTAAGTTTCAAATAAAAAAATATATTAGATAGGTTCTGAAACTGCTTATTGAGTTATTTTTTACTTTTGATAAATGACAGATCTCAACAATGTTTTTCCTAGACTTTTTTTTTTAAGAACGTAGCTTAAAAAGAGGAATTTCTCAGACCTTTCTTATGCCTTATAGCTTAAAAAACAAAACACATTTACCAACCCAAACTGAAAGTCTGCTTTTCATGTTCAGGTAAAATTAAAACCAAATTACAGCTACAATTTTAAAACACGCAAGTGTGCCTATTTTAGCCACATTAGAGCCATTTTACAAACCCTTGAGATAGATCTGCAATGGAAATTTGAATTCCATAAATGTAAACTGCTACAGAAGCACAGCATGGTATTTAGGTGAATACTAAGCCACTGTCTTGAAATGATGAATAATCTGGTTGGAATCTACTTACCCATGGGTAGGACTGCTATTGCTTACCTAGCTCAACTATACAAACAGGCAGTGTGACTTGGGGAGGAAAATGGAGCTTGGGAGAGACAGATGAGTGGGACATCCCAGAGCTCCCCTGTGGGAGCGCACACACCCCAGCTGCTCCCCTCAGGCTCCAAGCTCCCTAACTTATTGGGCTGGCAGACATGAGGCAGGAAGACAGGGATACTGCCAAGGCCACAGATGGGCCAGAAAACAGGTCAGTACAACTGGGACGACCAGGAACACAGCTACTGACAGCAGACCTTGGACCTGAAGCAGGTCCCTGCAAACACGTACAACACACGCATTTCTGGATGGGCCACAGTAGGAGAGTGAACTGCTTGCTGTGGAGCACCAGGAGAAGACTGCATAGATCAGGCATCTGGTTTAAAGTCTCCCCAGCACTCAGCAAAGAAGAAAGAATCTCTTTTAACCACATGGTCCCACAGCACACAGGAAGTACATGTGCAGTCACTTGGAACTGAAAGGCTTGGTATAAAGTTTCATAATTATATGAAACAGGCACCTAGCCCCCTGAATAATTTATTATCCACTCAGGCATACACAGTCTTCTCAGAGAATGGTTTTCCAAAAGTGGGTTCAGAACCATTATCACTAATAGTCTCCATCACCCCTTTGTCTGTAACACCACTGGTGCTCATGGAAGATCTCTGAGTGTAGCTGAGGCAATGCCTGTCAGCAGCTGGCCAATCGGTCCAGTTTCCAGGAAATGCCCTGACCTTCAGAGTGAGTTTGGTGCATACCTGTTTGACCTGTTGTTGCCTTTTATTCCTCACAGCTGGGTGTGCCTTCAGGCTGAGGCACGCATGACAGACAGACTCCTTCCAAGAGTACATAGGCACAGAGAGGTTTAAGAGCACCAATATCCCAATCTTGCTTCATGTAAACCAGTTGCCATTGAGCTGATTCTGACTCATGGCAGTCCCATGTGTGTCAGAGTAGAACTGTGCTCCAAAGGGTTTTCAATGGCAGATTTTTCAGAAGTAGATCACCGGGCCTTTATTCCGAAGTACCTCTGGGTGGACTCAAAACTCCAACCTTTCGGTTTACAGCCGAGTGAGTTGACCTTTGCACCACCCAGACTTCCTGCTACGGCGTATTCTTTCCTAAAACTGATCTGTTAGAGACTCACCACCTGTGGTCCTGCAGTTTCCCTTTCCCACCTCCCCTTCACACTTTATAGGACAAAGGGACACTCCTCAGCCAACTGCAATCTTACTCCGAGTAAAAAAAAAACCCCATGTGCCCGAGACAATTCGGAAAGCTGGACTGAGTACTGATAAAGTGAATCACTCTAATGACTGGGTAATAGGCTCTCTGCAAGACAAACCAAAAAACCCATTGCCCATTGCCGTCGAGGGTTTCCATCGAGGGTTTCCAAGGCTGTAATCCTTACGGAAGCAGACTGCCACATCTTTCTCCCAATGAGCAGCTGGTAGGTCTGAACCGCCGAAGTTAGCAGCTGAGCACTTAATCACTGTGCCACCAGGGCTCCTTCTGTTGCAAAGAAGCTATGATCTTTTATAGATGTTTTCCAGGCTATCAGAGGAGAGCTGACACATATTTGCTGTCATTGGTCGGGGTGATCCCCTCCATCCTGAGAAGTTTCCTATGTCTATGATTTGCTGAGATATACATAGCTCCCTAAGGGTTACTTATGGAGCCCTGGTGGCTCAGTGGTTAAGAGCTCAGCTGCTAACCAAAAAGGCAGCAGTTCGAATCAACCAGCTACTCCTTGGAAATCCTATGGGGCAGTTCTACTCTATCCTATGGGGTCGCTATGAGTTGGAATCGACACAACGGCAACAGGTTTGGTTCTGGTTTGGTAAGTGTCAGTTAAGGAGCCCTGGTTGCAATGGTTAAGGGCTCAGATGCTAACTGAAGGGTCGATGGTTCAAACCCACCCAGCAGCTCCACAGGAGGAAAGACCTGGTGATCTGCTTCCGTAAAGATTACAGCCTTGGAAACCCTATGGGGAAGTTCCACTCTGTCATACAGAGTCTCTATGAGTCAGAATCGAATTGATGCACGTAACAACAAGGATCAGCTGCTGTTCAGGGCCGGATAAAGCCTTTTCTTCTTACCGAAGTCTGACAGCCCTGGCTGAGAAACACTTGTTTGGCAGAAAGGCCTGTTCTAGATTTAAAAAACCAAACCAAAACAAAACCATCACAAATGAACTTGCTTTAACACACAGGGCTGCCTGTATGAGTGGTTGCTGGTACTCCCTGAGCCTCTGAGCTTTACCTGGGAGTCAATGACAAATATCAGTGCTCCTGTTCCCCTGAAGATCATCTCGTAGTCAAATGTAGGGTCAAAAAAGTCAATCTGCCCTGGGAAGTCCCAAATCTGAAAATTCACAAAGGAGCTGTTGGAAACATCTTCCCGGCATATCTTGTTAGTGCTCTCCAAGAACAGGGTTTCGTTGGGAGACATTTTGTGAAAGACAACTTTCTGAATAGACGACTTGCCACTTCTCCTCAGGCCCATGAGCAGGATTCTCGGCTTCACCTCAGTGCTGAAGGGATCGCTGAAGTCCAGAACTGGAGAAACCACAAAACAAGAATGAGGGTGAGACACTTTCACAGCGGTTAATTAGAGGAGTTTCACTTCCACCTCAAATGTGATTTATGATTCACAGTCGACACTATTCTTCCAAATACAGAGAGTGTTAACTCGATCACCACCCTATTCATTTAGGGACAGTTTTTGCTAAGTGCAAAACACGGAAAAATGCTGTTTCACTACTGTTCATACCATCCTAGAGGGCAAGAAAAACTGTCATTTCATATCACAAGCAGAAAATCTGGCATGTAAGGAAGAGAGATTCCCTGGAGCAGACTGTTGGTGGAAGAGACTCCAGGGTTTACTTTTCCGGAGCAAAGTCCTTCTCTGCCTTGATTGTCAGTCTCGAGGTACTTACTAAAAAGAACTTTGTTTATTCGAGTTATGCTCTCAGTTACCATGGCCTGGCTAGTGCTCGCACATGCCACAAATGCCTGAAAATGGGCATGTACTAGATGCCGCACCCTCACACTGTGTTAGAGGGCAGATGTAGATTTTGTGAGAAGTAGACCTCTCCCAGGTTCACACTGGCTCTAGGCTTATGCTGTCCAGTAAGGGAAACAGTAGCCATACGTGGTTATTTATACCTAAATTAATAAAAATTGAAACTTAAAATTCAGTTCCTCAGTCACTTCAGTTGCTCTGTCACAGTAGCCACGTTGCAAGTGCTCAATAGCCACGTGTGGCTACTGGCTGCTGTGTACTAGACAGCACAGATACAGAACACTGCCATCATCACAGACAGCTCTATACGTCAGTGCTGCTGTAGACCCCGGTAACAGACATTCAATCTAAAAATCCTTTGTCAAGGATCCTAGAAGGATTAGGCATAACTGAATAAAAGTAGGAATTAATATAAGGGCTCAAATCACTGTAAGGCTCTCTTTTCCTTATTCTTGAAACCTATAGGTTAGTTCCACAATGTTCTTTGGTCCTAGACAAACACTTAATTCCTGAGCAGGCTTCCTACTTGGTTAAGGGTAGAAATGTTAGGGCTCTGAAGTGAGCAAGAGCCAAGGTTTGAGTGGTGAGACCTTGGACAAGATACTTAGCTTCTGAGACTCGGTTTCAACATCTGTAAAACAGAGTTGACAATAATAATAAATATTTCATAAGGTTAAAGTGACAATTAAATGAGATCAAATATCCAAATAATTATTAAAAATAAGACCCATTCAACAAATGGTGCTGGGACAACTGGATATTCACACTGGAAAGAATGAAGTTGGACTGCTACCTCACATCATACACAAGAAATAACTTAAAATGGATCAAAGACCTAACTGTAAGAGCTAAAACTATAAAACTCTTAGGAAAAAACATAGGTATAAATCTTTGTGACCTTGGATTAGGCAACAGTTTCTTAGATATGACACCAAAAGCACAAGCAAGCAAAGTAGGGAGGGACAGATAAATGGACTTCATCAAGGAAGTGAAAATACAGCCCACAAAATAGGAAATATATTTGCAAATAATATATCTGATAAGGGTCTAGTGTCCAGAATACATAAAGAACTTTTACAACTCAATAACAAAAAAAGCCAATTCAAAAATGGGAAAAAGACTTGAATAGCTATTTCTCCAAAGAATACATACAAATGATCAATACACTCACGAAAAGATGTTCAACATCATTAGTCTTAAGGAAAATCACAATGAAATATACGAGTTTACATCCACTAAGATGGCTATTAGAAAAAAGACAGACAACAACAACTATTATTGAGAATATGGAGAAACTGGAACATTTATATATTGCTGGTGGGAATGTAAAATGGTACAGCCACTTTGGAAAACAGTTTGGCAGTTCCTCAAAATGTTAACCACAGAGTTACAATATATCCCAGTAATTCCACTCCTAGGTAAATACACAAGAGAACTGAAATCACATGTCTACACAAAAACTTGTACATAGTGGGGGATGTTCACAGCAGCATTATGCATAATAGTCAAAAAGTGGAAACAATCCAAATGTCCATCAACTGAAGAATGAATAAACAAGATGTGGTCTATCCATACAATAAAATATTAGTCATAAAAAGAAATGAGGCAATGATCTATCCTACAACACAGATGAACCTTGAAAACATTACTCTAAGCGAAAGAAGCCAGGTACAAAAGGCCATGTATTATGATTCCATTTAAATAAAACATTCAGAATAGGCAAGTCCATAGAGACAGAGAGTAGACTAGTGGTTGTTTAGGGCTGGGGGTACCAGGGGATAAGGAGTGAAAGCTAATGGGTAAGTGGTATCTTTGGGGTGACAAAAATTATCTGAAATGGTGATGATTTCACAAATATACTGAAAACTGTACACTTTGAAAAAGTGAATATTATGGTATGTAAAATATATCTCCAAAAAAAAAAAAAAAAAAAAAAGATTCATGACTGGCAAAACAAAAAGACCCAGTATGAAATGTGAAGAAATATCGAGAGAAGAAACCAACTTTTTAAGAAAAAAGGCAAAATGCAGGCAAATATAGAGGTATACATACATCTTTTTCTAAATGTATTTTTTGTTTCCTTCTGAACTATACCTCATTTTGTCTTTCTAACTCCCTGGTCACAGTTTAAGCCTAATCTAATAGAGACTGGAAAATAATCTTTTATTTCCCTGTTTTACTACCGATTTTTTTAAAACTCTACAATTTTCTAGAACACATTAGTAATTGATAATATCTTACTAAATTTAATTTGGTACGTATAATATTTTGATGTTTGCATTTGCGATAGGTATAGGTAAACACACAAATTTTAAGTAAAACAATGACTGACAAAAGAAAAAATAAGCAGGTACAGATGTGCACAGATACTATTTCACTATAAGCAATACCTAACTCCCACCATACCAACACACACTTTTCTAGTTCAACGTAACCAATTCATTAAATTGCTGATAATATACTATATAAGCAGTAATGTGGAAGTAAGTCACCCCACAAGGTCACTAGCTTTTCCCCTTCTTCATCAGTGATTATATATGCTACCCACTCACAGTATTGCCATTACAAGTTAATCCTAGCAAAAGCAGAACATGAATTAAAAAAAAAAACAAGACTTCCAGTTTCAAAATATCAGAATGGTAACATGTTACAGTCTTCCCCTCCCATACTAAATCCCTAAAAATAATAGAAAAGATAAACAATAAACAAATGGATAGCTGAGCCTGAAACAAAACAGTGAACTAAAAGTTGACAACTCAGAAATCCCTAGAAAACAGATCAGATTAAAGAGCGAAGTGGCAACTTTGACTGTGAATGGTAGAGTTCTGCTACAGAAGGTAAAACTTCACAGCATGAAGACAAGGAACAGGGTCATTATTTGGAGAATCAAAGTAAGAAGAGACAAGCAGACAAATTCTGTGCACAACTGCCACACTTGCCCGCTACCACTCTCTCCACACACAAACACACACTAGAATATACACCTCCATGGGGGAGCAGTAGTTCCCCAGGGGCTAGAAACGCCCAGGAGGAACAGAAGACACCCACACTACTGCCCTCAAAGTACTCTCACTTTCCCTAACTCTTAACTAAAACAGTGGAATGCAACAGGTGGAAACAGCACTGGCCACCTTCCATTATCTGCCAAACATCTGAGGAAATGCAAGATTATGATAAAAAACTACAAACTCAACAAATGGAAGAATTTATACCTGAAAAAACAGAGTTCATGAAAATATGAACAAAAATTTCAGATTAAGTATAATCCAAATACTCGAAGAGAAAATACGGCATTCACAAAACAAGAACAGACAGTTTCGGAACAGGAGCAGTCATAGAAAAGAAAAAGAAAGGGCCACTTATAGTTCTTGGAAACAAATATAATTTCTTATTTAAAAAAAGATATATGGATTGAAAAGCAGAATAAACACAGATGAAGAGGAAAATAGTGAACTGGAAAACCAAATTCTCTCAGAATGCAGTACAATGGAATAAAACAATGGAGAGTCTGAAATAAAAGTTAATGAGACATTGTGAATAAGATCCAGAAGTTCCATCATCCAGCCAAAGAAGATCCAAAAGGAGAGAATACAGATAATGGGAGGTGGATAATATTTAAAGAAATAAGTAAGCACTACCCAATCTAGAGAAAGATAAAATTCAAACTGACCCACAAAGTAAAGAGGAGAAATTTACACAACATCAAGCCCATACCTAGACAAATCATAGTGAAAGTTCAAGACATCAAATAATAATAAAATCCTTAAAACTATCAGAAGGGGGAAAATGATTACCTACAAAGGAATCAGAAAGACATCAGACTCATCATCAGCAACATGGGATACAAGAAGAGACTGGAACCATATCTTCAAAGGACTGAAGGAAAACAGCTTTAAACTCAGATTTACATATCCAGTCATATTATTTTTCAAATGTACAGGTGAGATAAAGAGATTTTCAGATACAGAAAGTTTACTGCCCACTTAATCTGTTTGAAAGAATTACTCAAAATTGTACTCTGGAAGAAGAAAAATCACATCCAAAAGGTAATGTTATGCAATAAGCAATGGAAAACAAAGAAATGCTATAGTGAAATCTATTAATTTTAAATAAGAACTGATTTTTAAATTTTTAATAAAAATTGGGGATTATAATTCCAATGTCAACATAAGAGGTAGGAGAGAAGAAAATAAAAGTTAAGTAAAAGAATGCTAAGTAAGGGTTCTTCTTAGAAAAACTTTTTTTTTTTTAAATTTAAGATTACCATTTCAAACCAACAGAGAATATAAATAAATATACAAAAATGCATTAGAAATGGGTTGAGAAGGATACAGAGCAGTCAGATAATAACTGCCTGGATCAGGAAAGGATTTTGGAAGATAACTAAAGGGGATTTTAGTATTAATTTTAAAAAGGAAAATATGCACATACATATATGATTAAAATTAGTTTTGAAAAGGAAAGAAATTTTTTAAAAAAATATAAGGAGTCATGACGGACACAGAGTGGAGGATCAAAAGACAACTGACACGCTATTTTATGGTTTAATTTACAAAGCTTTTAAAGTAACTTTCAAAGATGCACAATCCATTTAAATTTACACTGTTTTAAAATTAGTGTCCAAAGATGCACAATCTCACTGAAAATCTCTGATACTTCCTTTAGACTTTATATGCCAAACACAAGTTTCAAAATATTAAATACTCCTTAAATTGTGATTTCAACCCCATATATTCCCCTTAAATGGTTGTCTCAAGCAAGGTTTCTGTTTCATCCATACAATAAATATATTGGCTGATGTGCCTAAAATAGTTGCTTGGTAAATGTTGGCTGGACAAAAAGATATGCAAAATATGGTTCCTATCTTGGAAAACTTAAAATCTAGTCTAAATAATGTGCTACTGGCATAAAGGTAGACAAACAAATAAATGGAATGGACTAGGGAGTCCAGAAATATAGACTCCCACATATGTGAATAATTAATTTTCTGCAAAGATGCAAAGCCAATTCCATGAATCTTTACATCAAATGGCTCTGGAAAAACTGAACATCCATATCCAAAAAAAAAAGAATTTCAATCCCGACCTTGTACCATACTCAAAATAGGTCACAGGACTAACTATAAAAACTAAAACTATGAAAATCCTAGAAGAAAATATTTGTCACCTTGGATTAAGCAAAGGTTTCTTAGACACAACATTCCCCCGCAAAAAAAAAATTGTTAGACTTCATTAAAATTAAAAAAAAAATTTCTGCTCTCCAAATGATACTGTTAACAAAAAAATACAAGTCACAGACTGAAATAAAATATTTCCAAATCATGTCTAATAAAGGAGTTGTATTCAAAACATGTAAAGAACTCTCAAAACCCATTAATAAGAATACAAACAACCCATTTTTAAAAATGGACAAAAGATTTGAATAGACAACTCACCAAAAATTTATGGATGGTAAATAAGCACGTGAAAAGATGCCCAATACATCATTAGTCATTAAGGAAATGAAAATTAAAACCACAATGAGATACTATTACACATCTCCTGTTGTTGTTTAGTTACTGTGTAGTCAATTCAGACTCATGGTGACCAGGTGTGCAGAGTAGAACTGTTTCACAGGGGTTTCAAGGCCGTGACCTTTCAGAAGCAGATCCCTAGGCCTGTCTTCTGAGGTGCCCGTAGGTGGGTTTGAACTACCAACCTGTTGATTAGTAGTCCAGTGCTTAACCATTTGCACCACCCAGGGACTCCACATACCTACTAAAATCCAAAAAAGAAAAAAACCAAACCTGTTGCCATTGAGTCAATTCCAACTCACAGCAACCCTATAGGACAGAGTAGAACTGCCCCATAGGGTTTCCAAGGAGCAGGTGGTGGATTCAAACAGCCAACCTTTTGGTTAGCAGCTGAGCTCTTAACCACTGTGCCACCAGGACTCCGCATACCTACTAGGATACCTAAAATTAAAAGATAAACAGTAAACAAGTTTTGGTTAGGTTGTGGAAGTACTACAACTCATATGCTGCTAGTGGAAATATAAAATTTTCAACTTTGGAAAATAGTCTGATGGTTTCTTAGAAGTTAACATACTATCCAGCTATTCCACATTTAGGTATTTACCCAAGAGAAATGAAAGCATATGCCCATATAAAGACATGTACACAAAGGTTCACAACAGCTTTATTTGTAATAGTGAAAAACTGCAAACAACCCATATGTCCATTAACAAGTGAACGTATAAACAGATTTGGGGGCATCTCAGCAGTAAAAAGAAATAAATTATTGATATATACGACATGGATGAATCTCAAAATAATTATGCTGAGTGAATGAAGCCAATCAAAAAGTACATACTGTATGATCCCATTTACATAAGATTCTAAAAAATGTAAACTAATCTATAGTAACATCAAATCAGTGGTTATTTTGGGACTGGAAAGGATGGGAAGGGACTACTAAGGGGTATAAGGAAACTATTACAAATAAAGCTGTTGTGAACCTTTGCATGGGCATGTTATCTAGATTGTCGTGATAGTGTCATGGTGTGTACATATGTCAAAGTTTTCAAAGATGTGCAATTTATTTTATGTCAATTATATCTCAAAAAGATCAGTGCAAAGTAGGGGAGATATGCTTGTGAGCTGGGGAGCGGGGAACTCAGTGGATTACATACACTATGAATGTAGACCTGAAGGAAGGCAGGATTTGGATGGAGTACGAGGAGGAGGGGGCAGGAGATCCTCCAGGAATTGTTGTTGTTAGCTGTAGTGGAGTCAGCCCCTGGCTCACAGCAACACCATGTGCAATGAACGAAACTCTGCCCAGTCCTGCACCATCTTCGTGATAGGTTGCAGATCTGACTGTTATGATCCATAGGGTTTTCACTGACTGATTTTTGGAAGCAGACTGCTAGGCCTTTGTTTCTAGTCCATCTTAGTATGAAGCTCCACTGAAATCTGTTCAGCATCGTAACAATATGCAAGCCTCCACCGACAGAGAGGCTTTGGCTGTACATGAGGTACGTTGGCCAGGAAATGAAGCTAAGTCCCTTGATGAGAATTCTATCAGGTAAGCAAAGGCATATTGCCTTGCATGGAACAGTAAAACATGCATCCAATGCAAACTCATGGTAACCCTGTATGAAAGTGCCTACCATCTGCTAAGCTCTGTGCTAGGCACTCTACACACTTCATTCCTTTCATAATCCTTCAAGAATAGATATTATTATCCTTATTGCACAAGAAAAAAAAAAAAAAACTCAGGCTCAGAAAGTTCAGAAACATTCAAACTAAAAGTTGGCCCGTCCAAAGTCTAACCATGCTCTTTCTGATGTGCAACATTGCCTCCAATTAATAAAAGTAAAGCCCCATATTAAATTATGTACAAGCACAAAAATATTTAAGTGTTTATAAACATCTTTCTTCCCGGTTTATACCACAAGATGTTGCAGTAGATTTTAACTTATCTTCAACAGAGTCTACAAGTCTCTGCGTGGTATGATCATGCACCCTGGTGCACTGCAGAGGTCTGGGTCACCTGGGAGGTGATGAAGACCGCAATGAAAAGGGGTGGGAGTAGATATATGTGTTTACGTACACAGAGTGTGGAGAGTAGCGAAATGGGCATACAGCTGTGCTGGCTGACAGCTGCAAGGATTTCCTCTTCCCTGCCAAATTCACACACGGGCCAGAGGAGCAACAGCACCATCATCTCTGCTGAGACCACCTAAACTGAAGCAGATGCATTTTACTGCATTCAGCTGGGATGTACTGGAAACATACTGTGTGCAGGAACTGTGCTGGACATTGCCACAAACTTTATCCATCCGTTGAGTTGAGGCAGGTACAAACCTGAGGAATCTGGAAGAAGGAACCAGCCCAAGGTCAAATGGCTGGTATGTGGAGTCCTCACCCAGGGCTCTAGCCACCAATCAGCTGTCTGTTTGGCACATAAAATGCTAAATTTTATGATTTGCATATCTCATGAATTAAAATGCACATGGACCTTCCCCTTGGGGTTTTCTACAAAGCAGGGCTTCTAACTGGTTTGATCTGGTTTGAACCCTGGCTGAAAACGTGCATTTCTAAACAGGTTCCCAGCTGAGAATCTGCATTTCCACCTGAGATATACTGAATCAGAATCTACAATTTAACAAAATCCCCAGGTGATTCTTATGTATAAATTCCTGGGAACTTAGAAATGCACATTCTCAGTAGGGATTCGAACTGGAGGAACCAGTGGAAGCCCTGCTACAAGTAGCTTCATTCCAGCTAGGCTCTTCAAATATTCTACATCTGATGTTACTACCAAATTATAAGTCAGAGCAAACTAGTGATCATAAAATCAATTTAGTGGGCATTGAACAGCAACAGCATTAAACAACAACAACAATAGCAAAAGAAATAGAAAAGACCAGAAAACATCAAAGTGCATCATGCATAATAAGAGTAAATATTGCTTAGTGGAACTCTTTTAGGTTTACATCTATGTATGTGTGTGCTGGGCCACAAGGTAAAATGTGTTTGTTAGACCACAGTCAAAAAGTTTTATAAGCCACTGCTGTAAATCAGGAGAGGTTTCATACATTAAAAAGGGACAAAAATCCCCACTCTAACCCTCTCCCCTCCTGTCTTAGTTATCTAGTGCAGCTAAACAAATACACACGAGTGGCCTTAACAAACAAATATATTTTCTCACAGTTTAAAACAAAAAACCAAGCCCGTTGCTGTCCTGACACATAGCGACCCTATACTTTAGGAGGCTAGAATTCCAAATTCAGAGCACCAGTTCTAGGGGAAAGCTTTCTCTCTGCTGGCTCTGGAAAAAGATCCTGGTCTCCTCAGCTTCAGCCTCCTAGTTTTTTGGAGATCTCCATGTGTCTTGGCATCTATCTTACCCCCTCTCTCTTCCTGCTAGTTTGTTTAATCTCTTTATATCTCAAAAGAGATTGACTCAGGATATACCCTACACTAATCCTGCCTCATTAACATAACAAAGACAACTCATTCCCAAATGGGATTATAACCACAGGCATACAGGTTAGGATTTACAATACTTATTTTGGGGGGACATAAATCAATCCATATGACCACCCTTCCCTCAAGTATATCAGCTTCTGGAACCCCAGAGAGAGCAAATCTGAGTTTCCCAACGGGTCCCACTCCACTCAGGGAACAGTAGCTGCAGGGAATTCATATGTATCGGGAAACGGAACAGTCAACCTCCTGGACTTCTGGGGAAGGCTGGACTTGCTCCACTCTCTCAGGTTTAATAAGAGCAATCTGAGAAATGTGACAGTGTGAAAGAGAATGAAGAATGTTACGGTAAAACCTGCAAAAGATGGAAAATGTAAGGCAGAAACCTGTCAGAGAAGGAAAATGCAAGTATTTTCCACTAAAACGGGCGGAAAACTTGGAAGACCAGGAAAAACAAGACAGTCTCATCAAGTTCCAGCTCACACAGGTTTCACTGTAGTTGCTTTGAAAGGGGTGATAAAAGGGCTAGTATTTTAAAAATAGGAAGTCAGAAACTAACTACAGGAGGACTTGGAAGAGAGATGTAGCCAGAGAGGGCTCTTTAAAAGTGCTAAGGGGGGTTTGGAGGAAGTGGCTGGAGTGAGGTGAAATTGGCAAGAGGACAGTTTGTTCTCATTTCATAAAGGTTTCCCAAATGCCTGCCAAGTGTTAGGCAGGGCTGAGCCAGGGGTTGCAGATACAAAGAAAAAAGATTCATCCCCTAGCAACTGGAGAGGAAAATAGACAAGAAAAGCTGACAATCACAATGCACTGCTATCATGCCAAGGGCTCCCAGAGAGGGCTCCCTGGAGAAGTAACATCTGAGACTTCAAGAGGAGGAGGCATAAAAGAGATGAATGAGAGGAAAGGTGGTTCCAGGAAGAGCTGGGCAAATTGAGGGAACTGGAGTCTAGGGAATATAGTTTATAGGCAAGAAGAGGCTACACACTGTCCAGTGGCTTCCCACAGCAATGAGAATAAAATCCAAACGTTTTCCTCCTCCAAAGGCCCTACATGGGCTGTACCACCCCTCTACATACACACACACACACACACACACACACACACAACACACACACACACACACACACACACACACA